CCGAAGGAAAAATTCCAAAGCGCACTGCCGCGGGTTTAGATGGGATTCCCGTTAGCCTCATTAACGAACTAGGACATAACACTAAAGAAGCATTGTTAAAAGCAGTAGAAAAAAGCTTAAAAGACGGACAAATACCGGACAGTTGGCGACAAAGTAGAATGAACTTAATCTATAAAGGCAAGGGAGAAAAGGACAAGATTCGCTCGTATAGACCACTAACCATTACATCGGTACTATACAGGTTGGCGATGCAAGCAGTAAAAATGAAAATAGAAACATGGGCCGAACATAACGATATTTTGGGAGAACTTCAGAACGGATTTCGAGTCGACAGGCGGTTAGACGATAACCTGTTTGTGCTCACTCAGTGTATAGAAATATCTAAAATAGAGAATAGGCCCTTGTACGTGGCTTTTCTAGACATCACTGGGGCATACGACAACGTTAATCAGGAAATTTTGTGGGATATATTGAAAGGAATGGGCATGGGCGACGACTGTATACAGCTTTTGAGGGAGATATACCGAGAAAATACAGTTTGCATAGAGTGGGAAGGAATGCGTAGCAAAGAGAACGTTGAGGTTAGCAGGGGTCTGAGACAGGGATGTCCTTTGTCCCCACTGTTATTCATGCTGTGCATGGTGAGTATGGAAAAAGCGCTAGAAGGTAGCAACATTGGTTTTAATCTGTCACACAAACAGGGCGGCATGATGATTGAGCAGAAGCTTCCAGGTTTATTTTATGCGGACGATATCGTCTTATTTGCGGACAGTCGAGAGGATATACAGCAGCTGGCGAATATATGCGGAAGGGAAGGTGAAGCTCTTGGACTAGGATTCAGTGTAACGAAGTGTGGTTTGATGGTATTCAATGATCCCTGTGATCAGACGGTGTCCATACAAGGCCAAGAAATACCGAGGGTAAGTGAATACAAGTACCTTGGAGTATGGGTAAATGAGAGTGATAGATACATGGAGGTACAGGAAAAAGCCTCGGCAGCAAAAGGAAAGAGGAATGCGGCAATAATGAAGCACAGAGCGTTGTGGGGATACAATAGGTATGAGGTGCTTCGAGGTCTGTGGAAGGGTGTAATGGTTCCAGGGCTTACTTTTGGGAACTCAGTGGTGTGCATGAGGGCAGAGGTGCAATCGGGAATGGATGTAAATCAAAGGACTGTGGGACGCCTCGCGTTGGGTGCTCACGGGAAGACGACAAACGAGGCTGTAAAGGGCGATATGGGGTGGGCAGGTTTTGAGGCGAGGGAAGCGCAGAGCAAAATAAGGTTCGAAGAAAGGCTAAGAAATATGAAGGAGAGTAGATGGGCAGAGAAGGTGTTCCGTTATTTGTATAGGAAGAGCGTGGACACACAGTGGAGAAAAAGAACTAGAAGACTCACTAGTAAATATACGGCTGGTATTGTGAGCCATATGTCAACAAAGAGCGTTAAGGGAAAAGTCAGGGAGGCGGAGAGGATTTACTGGATGGCAGCTATGGAGAAAAAACCGGCTTTGAGTAACTACCAAAAGGGCAAAAATGAAATAAGGAGGGAGGCATTTTACGATAATTCAAGGGGAAGCGCTTTACTGTTTGAAGCGAGATCGGGTTGCCTTAGAACGCGTAGTTATAAAGCAAGATTCAGTAAAGAAGAAGAACAATGCACATGCTGCGGGAAAGATAAGGAAACGGCGGAACATGTTCTGATTGAATGTGGAGATATCCACCCAGGTGTACGTTTGGGCACGAACCTACAGGAAGCCTTGGGTTTTAGGGACAACAATGGAAAGCTGAACACACCCGCGATTGAAATAAGTAAGAGACGGTTAGAGTATTGGTGGCAGAAAATTAGAGAGAAAGGACAAAAATAAATATTGGAAAAATAAAATATGGACAGTGTGCCGTAAATGGCAGAGAACTTAAGCTGAAAATTTACCTTTTTTCCATTAAGATAGAATTTATCGAAGTAGAGGCATTAGGCCAACATAAAAAAAAAGGAAAAAAGATTTTTTTTTTTGTCGAGCCTGGTGGCATACTTGTCACCACCCCGTTATAAAGGGGACGCTCATAGCATCCATCCATCCATCGATGCTCGCTGCGCGCAGCGGGCCATCGAGTAGCCGTGCGCGATGCGCGCGGGCGTCCGATTAATTTTTTTGCAAGCAACGTGAATAAGCTTTAGGGGCTCGTTGGTGTGGTCTAGAATTTAGTATTAATGTGCGCTGCACAATTGGATGAGGACAGGGACAGTGAAAAACGATATTGCGCAATGGCGCACTGTCAAGTGTGGTTGTTTTCCACTGTCCGTCCTTGTACAAATGTGCAGCTCACATAAACGCGTTAAATCAATTATAATTGGGCGTGACGATGGTTTACGGAAACAATTTTAACACCCAAGTTATTTTTCGCTAGTCCAATACTTCTGCTGCGCACAAGCTCAGCGCTAATAAAACCTTTTATTCATGGATTGCGTGCGATTCCACTCCTAAAAAATGCGACTCGGATTCTGAACAAGCAAAGGAAAGTACAGGAAATATTTATTGCACAAATATTCCCATGGTAATTCAGTAATCATGGTCATGACAAATCATGGTCATTCAGTAAAGTAGAAAGATATCACGTTTACATATACTTCTGTCAAATTAAAAATAGTGTCAAAACATTTGCACACCGACAGTATATGCACATTAAAAACATTTCGCACCCACAGTGAGTCGCCTAGCACTAAGGAACACGAGATAATTGTGCAACTTTACACTAAATTTAAAATATAAAATGTTCAATCTCAAATTCACAATGCAATAAGCAACTTAGAGCAGCCGCCTAAGTTTCAACATCTTCATTTTTTCTTTCTTCGCACTCCGCTTGCAGTTCTGGGACTTGACATGAAAGTGGAGCCTAGTCAGCACATAAAACTTAATAATCATGTTTGTCAGGGCCATGCTGTGGTCAGGGAAGCCAACAAGGGTGAGCTTCGTTAACTGCAGGAATGAAACCAAATCCATGATGCTGTCGCTTTTGAGCTCTCTTACACTGAAGCAGTGGGTAAAAGTGTTCTCAAGAGATGTGACGAGTGCATTTAGCTTGGCTGATGGGTACAGCAGCCCCCCTTATATATCCTCCTTGCCCTCGGTCCACAGCAGCAGTGAGGAATGCTGCAGCTGGAGGTGACTCGTCTTTGGCTTGTAGGAGCTGCTGGCTGCACTCTGCACATTTGGTGAATGCGGCGCTCTTTCTTGCGACGTAGCCAGCCATGTATTATATGAGCCTGGAGTCGCTGGCTTGCAGCACCATGGCAGCATGCTCGCTGCCGTGACCGCACTCACTGAGCACTTCGTGTGCTTCTGCCAGGTTCCCTGCGTCAAGAAGCTCATCAAGCTTCCTCTGAGAGGTCACGTCCTTTGCACTGTCAGCCCCCAGCAGGCTCCTTGGCAGTCCTGGAGACACATTGCTTCCTTTTGGTGATTTTGCCAAATTTTGGAAGCTTAGTGTGTTCACTGTGATTAGGAACTGTGAGGCAGTGGGATGGTCATTACTGCCACACATCTGTCGGACGATTCCGAACAATCTCTCCAAAGGGTCCTGACACAAACGGCAGGTCATCACATAGCGGAAGTTCAGCTTCGTTGTCAAGTAGTGGAGAAGGTTCTCGATGTCCTCTTCGTTCTCGATGACCCCTTCTTCGGCGCTTTTTTGGAACGGTGCGCAGGGACATTGGGGAATACGGTTGGTACCGTGTCTGCTTTCAGGAGTGGTCGCTCTCGGGGTATCTCCACAATTTCTCCCTTTATCACGTGCGTGAAGCAACGGTCAATGTACTGCTCGTCGAAATGATGTTCGCACAGCGCCGACCTCGCGTCCAAAGATTTGTCGGCACGGGGGACGGCTCGTCACCACGCTTCGAAGCGCACAGGATCCTTCGGCACAAAAAAAAAAAGACACATGCTGACCCAGCTGCCTCGACGACACGTAGCCTGACGTACAGCCAGGCGCAAAACAGTGAGTCTGTCTCGCTTTCTTCACGGTGGAGCTCATCGTTCCGGCAGAGTTCGGAATTCACATTTGAGAAGTCACCACCGAAACACAGCTCGAAAAAAAAAAACGCGGCAAAATAACCGCAGCCACGAAGAAAAAGGGCTACTCTACCGACGCAACGAGGAACTCCGTACACTTCCACAACCGCGATACACGAGAGAGAGAGAGACCGCGACCGCGACGCGATCACATCGGATGGATAGATGGATGGATATGGCTGTACCCTTTAGATCGGGCGGTGGCTAGTGCTACCAAGCCGTAATACCTAATGAACCAAAAACTATATTTTTTTTTTCCTTAAAAAAAGAGTTTGAGGATTCGTACTTTGCAGTGAAAAGTTTAATTTTCACTCGTGCCTTGACTTTAGCCACCAATCAGATAACCTCCTTCTAGTTAAGTCTACCCGCTTAAAGTTTATTTTGCCCTCCCGGTCCCTAAACCCCAGTGCTTTGAAAAACTCTGCGCCATCATCCTGAACTATAGGGTGAAGCCCTTTACAGACAAGCTGGCAGCAGCGCCACCGCGGAAGCACGGCAGCGGCTTGAAACGGAGGATTGCGGTTTCTCGGCGAATACGCGAGCGATATCGGCGGTCACTTGGGTAGCGGCGGTCATCAGAACTATGGTAGTGGCGTCACTCAAGTAGGAGTTTCTTCAAATAGGTTTTTACGTTTTTGAAACTTATATGCAACAAAAAAAAACGTAAAAACATTTTAAAAAGGCGTAACTGTAATTACAATTAACCCTACGTAAGTGACGCCGTCATTCAACAAGCAACTTTTTAATACAAGCCATCCTTTAAAATTAGTAGCAAACGCCAAAAGTGCCAATCTCGAAGGCTAAGTTCAAAAACTTTTATTCCTACGTAGGCAGCGCCGCCATAGATGACCAGCGTTTCGCGCTTATTTGGCAGGCACAAGAAATCTAGGAGGCGTCGCTCGAAAGGAAGAGCGGTAAGGCAACCCTGACATAACAACAATGGCGCTCCCCATGTAGCCGGCCTGTCTCCAGGGTCGCGGACATCGCCGTGCGACCACAAAATTATGCACCATCAGCCTCTAGTCAACGTAGAAATTAATTTCTAGTCGGCCATGGAAGAGTCGAGTGGCAAGACGGAATCGCCACAATCCGTCGAATTGTGCCTCGCTTCGAACGGCGACACATTCCTCGTCACTCGAGATTCGATCGCCGCTGTTGACAAGCTGTCCCTCAGACTGGACTGTGCACTTAGTTTGGATCAAAGCACCAAGGACTCGGTAACACATTTCTTGGCTGGCACCAACCCCTTCGATGCGGTCGTCGAGGCGCGGATATCGGCTGCGGTAGACGAGCGGCTGTTCTGGAGCATCATTGTAGAGCTTTCGAGATCTCACAATTACCGTAGGCTTTGCCTCGACAAATTTCGAAGAATGTGTCAAAAGTGCCGGCGGACGAAACGTACGATAAAAAGCCACCCGGTGACTGTAAGCGTTGTTGTGCGTCTTGTGCCATGGAAACCTGTGATGGACAGGTCTTGGTGGGTACTTGCGCTCAATCAGAATTCTTCCTTTTATTGAAACTCATGGGTCTTGTTAGCTTCGGTTTCATGAACGTAGACGCAATGAGTTTCCGTTAGTGCCTGCTGGAGTCTAACGCCGCTTTTTTCAAGGATACTGATCAGCGTGAAAGACGAAACTAAAAGAGCTGACAATGGGCAGGATGTCTCGTAGGTGACTAATTGAGCTCTGTATTTCGGAGACTTTAATACATTGCGACAAAGTCAACAGTTGGTTTTAGTTTGCCATAACAAAGCGTTGTTCACAATACACATCTAACTTGCTTTAAATAAATAGATCAAGAGGTTTAGTAACCAATGCAGACCAATGCTGTTTCTGGTCAAGTGCAGAGGCAGCAGCCAGTAATCTTGGCCTGCTCTGCGCTCTACCTTTTTTTTTTACTTTTTCGAGTTTGCCGACAAAATAAACCTGTTTGCTTATTGTTCATGAGTGTCCTCCAAAGGTTTCGCCCAATCCACTTCACAGAGTATTTAGGCCGGTGAAATGAGGAAATCTAGAGTGACATAATGAGACCCTAAATTCTAAAAGAAGCTGATAGAGTCACCTCACGCTGTGTCACTTCAGAGAAATTATAGCTTTTACAGAACAAATGAGCGACACCATGTACTGTCGTCTATATTTTTCAGCACTCTAGTAGCCGTATCCAAAATGTGCTTTGTTGTTTGGAGGTTCTGTTTCATTCTGCTATATTATGCATTTAAGTCGGAAACCAACTAGGCTCAAATTTCAGCTTTTAACTGCAACTCTTAGTTCCAGCTTGACCCAAAGTGAGCACATGCAAAGGTCTCCAAGGCCCCTATTCGAAAACTCCCATTCAAAGAATGTCCACCGATTGCGTAGAATGCTGATGGTTATGACAGCCAAACTTGTAATCTGATGGCAAATGACATATTGTTTTCTTAATTACGTTATTGAAACAACATTCCACTGCATAAATATACAAAAGTAGAGTATCTTGCAGAAATGTAAGGGTGCATTCGCCCTCCCAACAAAGGAACATTGGTCTAGTTTGCTTGAATGATGTAAGCGTAACTTCATAAACAACACCAGTTTTGGCCATGGTACCACAACATGCAGGCATTTAGGTTGGAATGGACAGCTTGTGGGACTCGGTAGCCAACCGTTGTCGTTAAAGGAACGCATACATAAAGCACTATGCATTAGCTTAGACTGTTAAATTATTATTTGAAAAAAACTGTTGTTCAACTGGGCTGGTAGCTTAAATTTTAAAACTAGAGAAGGTGTCGAACGTTACACTCATTGAAGTTCAAAATGAGAACCAAAGGCTGGCATGTCAATATGACCTCACAAGCTTCTAAATGCCTTCTTTCGTCTTTTCACCATTTCATCCCCATTAAAGCCCTCAAAACTTGCCACCTCAATTCTCTTGCTTCATAAGTGCATAATGCGGTTTATATATATGAATGTTAGGTTATATAGGCATTATTAGTTACCAAAATCTGACACAAGGGTAAGCTTATGTGACAGCTTCAAGGCTGGGTTGCCACCTGTCTCTTTGCAATTTTTCTGGCTTACTGAATGCCTTTTTGTAATAAGCGTACTGCTTTCTATATCAAGGAAGGGTATTCAACATATACAGGTGGCATCATTTTTATCTTCTTCGGCTTTTAATTATGCCGAAGAAAAGACATGCACAGCCTTTAGAATCCCCTGGCCTAGGTTGATGCTGTTTCTGGTCAAGCATTTATAATCACTTATTTGCAGCACTTCATTGTTGTCTGAAGATGGCCTCTTATTTGGTTCCTTTCTTGCGTTAAAGTAGGGATTCCTCAGTTGAATGTGCAATGGTTGTTGCCAGTCAACTTAACTGTTCTGGACACATACTGCAGGCATATTTTACAACATAACACGCAACATTGCATTGTTAAACAGTATAGCTGTAAATATAGCACTTCACGATTGCTATTCATGGCTGCATTGATGATCTGGGTAGCTCTGTTACCACAGTTGCTGAAATATGCACTTTTGTTGGAGTCTTATTAGGACTGCGGTGTCGGCATCCTTATTACATTGCGAAGAAATAGTGTAGCCTCAAGGATTACTTCAACCATGTTAGACATTTTTAATGGCACTGAACGCTAAAAGCGAGTCGTGGTCTAGGATGCTATTTGTTATCTTTTAGTGACCGTTTTTTTCATTATCTTTCCAGGGAAGCCAAGATTGGCCGCTTAGTGGTAGAACAACTCGAATTGGAAAACACAATGGCCTGGTTGTCAACCCTTGGTGGAGCTTTCTCTGCACTCGGCGATTACTGCTCCAGATTTGTGAGTTTTCTTTATTGCTTCTCTAGTAAGTCGTATAGTGGTCATTTTGTTGCAGGTGCATCATCATGTAAACAACACCTGAGCTGTTCTTGCATACTGAGGATGAACAGTGTACTTGTTGTGACATTCTAGTGTTCTGGATTTTATTCAGGCAAATAAACATACTAATTTTAATACCAGAACGAGGACGAGCAAGGCTAGCTATTTCACAAGAAATTAAATGTCCAGCCCTGCGTGAAACACACAGCACAGTCATATCGTGAGCTGCAGGAATATCCTCGTTGCCTGTCGCAAACTCTAAAAGGCGATGTCTCTTGGGACCATTTTCCCGAGAACAGATGGCACCATACGATCGGCATGTTGCTGCTTCTGCTGCCGTCTGCACAGTGAAGACAGTGCAGAGGCAGCAGCCAGTAATCTTGGCTTGCTCTGTGCTTGCCGTAGATTACCTGCAACCGAGGGCACACCACGAAAGAGCATGCACTTCACTTAGACCCTACAATTGTCACTGCACTGAGCATGAGTGGCCAACTTGACTACAGAAGGAGGTACATGCCCCTTTGTACTCTCCCCCCAATTCCAGTAAATGTTAACCCTCTCCCTCACCTCATTCGCCATCTATCACATATGCACAAGGATGGCATGACGGCAAGGGTACTGCTTCTCTAAAAAAGCACACTAATGCCTACACCAGTGCGTCAAATCGCACAAGTGTTCAGAGGCTACATAGAAAGGGATTCTGCCTAGTTCTGGAAGATGAAAGGGACTTTCTCTAGTTCTGTTTCCATTTCCTTCTAACAAATTACTGGTTCACCTGAAATTTGAGCTATGTTTTATTGCACAAGCCGGCCCAGGATGTACAAACAAAAATGTAATCATGCTTGTGTTATTACATAGTGGTATCTGAATTATAGTGACAGTGATGTGTTGTCGGCTTCTTGAAATTGCCATGGCCTTGACAGATTGGATTCTCTTACTTTAAAAGCCATTACTGTGGTGTAAGTCTTGGCACTGCTTGCTGAGCACTCATTATGCCCTTGGTTGTGTGAACTGCTTGTGTTAGCCGACCGCTGTATGACTTACCTGCAATGGCTAAGCAGACTTTTTTTTTTATACAAGCTTTCAGCTGGTGGTCAAAATTTCTGGAGCCCTCCACTACGGTGCCTCTCATAATTATATGGTGGTTTTGGGATGTTAAACCCCGCACCCCAATCAATCAAACTTTCAGCTGCACTGTGCGTACCCATATTTTACCGGCTTTCTGTGGAGCACTTACAGTTTTAAACGTGATGTGCTTTTCAAGCTCATAATTTCCTCAAACCCAAGAACTCGTCATTCTCTTCTTTTTTGCTTGGCCCTCTTAATTCGTTCTGCGCTTGCCGTAGATTACCTGCAACAGTGGGCACACTGTTGCACCGCAGTCACACCGCAGTCCTTTCACATCAAATTGAGTCCAGTGGCCTTTTAGAAATATAGTATTTTCAACAAGAAGCACTCAAGTAGGCTTAATAAGGCTGCAATAACAACATTCGAAACTTACTTTTTTTTCCCTTTTTTTTTATCTATTCCCCTTAGCATAGAAAGCACCATTAGCTTCTGTCCCACTTTTTCTTTTTTTTTTCTCGTTTCTTCTTTGACCTGCTCTTTGTCATCATAGAATGCATTGAATGCATTCCACACAATAAGGTACTATCAGCTTGAAATTCCCTGAAAATTCCTGGAGGGCAATAACACCTGCCATCTCTGCTGAACTTTTTACAAAGCTTACATAAAGCTGGCATTCCAAGAAATAGTGAGTAGGAGCCCTCTCTTTGAGATAAAAGCAAAATTAGCTATTGTGTCGTCCAATCTTTGGAGCTCTGCACATTTTGCGTAACTACAAAACTTGGCTCAGACATTCATGGCTTTATGCTCTAACTGCATAACTATATGCTTGTCACCCTCATGGTGTGGCTGAAAGCTTTTTAAAAGTTCTCTTTCGGTGTTTTGGCATTACAAGCTGATTGGCCTCGTGTGCAGATTGCATGCTGACGATCCTGTCTGCAAACTTTCAGACAACCGTGTGGCCTCAAAGCAGATGAGTGAGCTTACGTTTATGCACCATTTATCTCAAAGAATTCTTGTTTTGAGAATCGAAGCCATGTATATACGCATTTCTACATCAGCCTGTAAGTTCATCAATAGTGACGTATGATTTCAGTAGTACATTCAATGTGGAATAAGCAATGCTGCTTGTATGAATGGGCAGCGCAGCTGAAGTGGGCAAGAATAAGAGACTAATGAGAAGTAACAGACAAAATTGTATATTCTCAGTAACATTGACTCTAACAAAAAAAAACTATCCCTTATCTCTTTTATTACCATGTCTATTCAAATCAGTCACCAGTGATTGACGCTATGGATCATTAGTTTTTGGATGTTGAACTTGTTTCTGGTGTCCAGAGCACTTCTTAGTAGTTAGTCCCGCCACTCAACTTTCAGAATCGATTTGAATTTGCCCATTTTGGCAACATGGTGATTTTTGACAGACCGTTGCGCAAACTATTGTGCGTGTATTGTTGAGAAAATGCACTTGGCTGGCTAACTTATGCTACATTAACATGCTACAGTTACGCTACAGTAACATCGCAGTTCTATAATCAATAGAACGTTTGCAAGTCAAATGTCAAATTAGGATGTCAGATTCATAATCTGACAGTGTTGAGCAATAATAATTGCCAAAAATTTATGCCAACTATTCGATAGAGAGCTGTTGCTAGGGGTCAGGGAAAATTTATTCTACAAAAAAATATTTCGGAAGGGCCGCCGCATGTATAAGTAGCCTTCTCAGTCAGTTTCCAGCAGCTTTGGTTTTGCTTGTATTGTTATATCAGCCATAGGGCCTCATCTAGTGTCACGAGTCGCTCCTATACTGTTGTCGTCACGCGCTCATGGGTGTGCACCTGCATTTGAAAAAACACGTACCACTCGAAACTGTCTTGCAACCATGCCTGAACTGAGTGTGGATGAGCTTAGAAAGTCCGAGGGTCGGGTCACAGCACCTCAGCTTTGAGTTTCGTGATGACAATGTTTTGCGTCAGCCTGAGGCATTCGCAGTCAATCATGGGTTTGTTTTGTGTACGGCCTTAATTTGCCTCCTCCGCCACAAGTGCATAGCTGCTGAACCTTGTGCACAAGCTTACAGCTACTCTGGTTATGTGCGAAGCCCACACGTCGTCGTCGTTAGGGCGCCGGGTGCAGAGCTTCTCCTCACGTTAACCAGGCCACCGGGGCTCATCTTGAGCCTGACTACGGAGCAGAAGGAAACAATTTAGAACTGCACGCAATGTTCTTCTTTTTTTAATATGATGTGCTAAAATGCAAAGAAATATGCCTAGATGCAAATATAGGAGTGCGAACCTATGCGGACTCAGGTGGCGCATAGAAACAAGTGACGCTAGACGAAATAGCGAAGTTCATTGGACTTCTCATTTATAGAAGAAATATTTACATCATGGGAATCCATCTATATTCTAACACTGGCAGGCTTTTACCACAGAAAACTAAAATTTATTGAAAAAAGTGTACCAGTTCACTTGTGTCTCACAAAAAGCCAAGCAATGATTTATCACATGACATGAGGAATGAAGCATGACCTCCGTTTGGATTTTCTGTCTATGTGAATAGAAGGGTTTTGTACAATATTCATTATTTTTTTTTTCATGCTGTTCCCGGATTAGTTGTTTTGTTTGTTTTTTTTTCATGCTGTTCCCGGATTAGTTTTTTTTTTATTAGTTATTTTTTGCCCCGCCGCGGTGGTCTAGTGGCTAAGGTACTTGGCTGCTGACCCGCAGGTCGCGGGTTCAAATCCCGGCTGCGGCGGCTGCATTTTCGATGGAGGCGGAAATGTCGAGGCCCGTGTGCTCAGATTTGGGTGCACGTTGAAGAATCCCAGGTGGTCAAAATTTCCGGAGCCCTCCACTACGGCGTCTCTCATAATCATATGGTGGTTTTGGGACGTTAAACCCCACAAATCAATCAATCGGATTAGTTCTTTTTAAAATACGTGTATTGTTTTCTCAGTTCTAAATATTTTTGAATATATAGTGTTTTTATTGTACTGTTTACCAGCTCGTCCCCAAAAATTACGCAGTTTTCACATTTTTTATTTCTTACAAAATGTTAGTACAGCTCTACAACATATATTTTTTGGAAAGAGAATTTTGTGCAAAATTTGGTATGCTACAATGTGTGCGGTAGTACTTCTCAACCTGGCAAAAACTATTTTTGCTATACACGTGAAAAATAATCATTCTTGCGCAGTAACGAAAGAGTTAAATTGACACTTATTTCTGTCAAAAATGAAAGACGAAAAATGTTTTGTAATTGATGTCTTGCTCTTCAAAAGAAATATTCTTCCTTTCTTCATATTACTACTATGTCCCACTCAGTGCAGCTTTTCTGCAGGCTGAGGCAGCAGGACAAGTCTCGGTGAAGCAGTTGAAACTGGCTCTGCGCATTGGTGACCCAGTGACCGTGTGCCGGTGCCACGTCTACCTCGCTATGAGTTTGCTGCAGAGGGGTTACTTTCGCTCATGCCGTCGAATGCTGAGGTGAGCTCTTAGAGAACTACCGCAGAAAGGTTGAGGAGACAGAATGGCTGTTTGTACAATCACGCGGGGAAAAGCAGTTCTCAGGGAGAACTTGTCAAAGCATCGGCCTCGCAGTAAACGATTTCATCTGTTGGAAAAGCATCTGTCAGGTCAAATTTCTCCCATTGAGCCCCGCCGCAGTGGTCTAGTGGCTAAGGTACTCGGCTGCTGACCCGCAGGTCGCGGGTTCGTATCCCGGCTGCGGCGGCTGCATTTCCGATGGAGGCGGAAATGTTGTAGGCCCGTGTGCTCAGATTTAGGTGCACGTTAAAGAACCCCAGGTGGTCGAAATTTCTAGAGTCGTCTACTACGGCGTCTCTCATAATCATAAGGTGATTTTGGGACGTTAAACCCCACATATCAATCAATCAGTCAATCAATTTCTCCCATTGAAAATTTGTCTTTTTTTTTGTCAATGAATCCAGGTTTTTTCGACCTCAGCATCGCAAAGTGTCAGCTCTGTTATATACCTAAACAACCGGTGGCGCTGTTTTTTTTTTTTTTTTTTTTTTTGCTTTTTGAGATCACTTGGAAGATACTAGAAGTGGCCTTGTTGATGACATGTACTTCCTAAGCGATTAGGGTCACTTCCAACAGAATGAAGAGGCTAGGCTTGTGCGAATATTTGAGTTCTACTTAAATTCAGACAAATATTTATGTATTGTAATTCGCTTCCATTTGAATTTACATTGTTGGAAATTTCTGGATGAATAGGTGTATATTAGTCATCATGCAATCCCCTCATAAAGTGGTTTTGCTGCAGTGTTGCGATGCTGTCTCGTGAATACATTTATGCAGGGGAAATCTGCCCCACCGCAAAGCGTATTGGATGAACATCTGCCCCACCGCATCAATATTGGATGAACATATTTGACTCACATTGATTCTTCCCTTTTTAAGTTTATGTTATGCTGGCTTATATGCCCCAAGTATAATAAATCTTAAAATGTAACATATTTTACATGTTACGTTTAGCATTTTCTTGAAAGTCAAATCCTACTACTATTCAAAGTTGCTTCCACTTCCTTTAAACCAAAAAGAATGACATTTGCACCCTCCTTATTTCAATAAAAAAAATATTATGCAGGTTAGTTATGTCATGACAAATATGCTTTTTTTTCATACTGTGATATACAATATAATCAAATTCAGTGCAAAATTAGTTGAATTAAATCGCTATCTGTTTCGAATTTGCTCTGAACCTAAAATTTACTATTCGGACAAGCCTAGAATCTCACCTCAGCTAGTGGGCCTCAGTCTTCAAATTTAGTCCCACAAGGACCGAGACATTGAAGATAGTGGAGGTAGTCCGAACGACATGTCGGCTAACGTTACCATTTGAAAAAAGACATATTGCATATGTACGGGTGATTTACGAGGGGCGTTTGACTTCAAAAGGATCAAGAAACATCTGATTGCCAGAATGACTAAACTCTGGACACCAATTCTGAAATACTGAATTATAGAATTTTTGTTCTGGGGTTGGAGGGGGGGGGGGGGGCAATGATGTTTCAACACGTAGTGGTCACTTGGAGAGCCCTACGAAAAAAAAAAAAATGCTTGTGGCCACTAGCGTTCATGTAGCTTACTCAAACAAAGCCTTATTAGTCATGGTGAGTGAGAAATTAAAGTGAGTACTGTTAAGCAATGACAAAAAATTTCACTCACGAAGCCATTAAAAATTATGGAACAAAGACAGTCACGTGTGAGCCGGGCCGTTGGGTGTTTCAGTTCCTCGTAGCGTGTCCACAAGCTTTCTTCCTCCCTTGGGTGGGAGAGAATTCAACACATTTCAATTATAAGCAGTACGAATGATTGGGTGATTTGGTTCAGATTCGTGTTTATGAAATGGTGCGACAGAACAGGACGAGGATACTCTATTCCTGTATTATTCAATATTCTCACCGTGTTCTGTGGTGTCGTTTCAAAATACTGGTACGTGTGCCTTCCTGTGGTTCTGATCGACACCACACTTATTATCGCATGGCCTTCGACATCTGGTGGTCGCGCATGTTGCAATCCACACGATGCTGTCGACCTGTGGATGTGATTCTGTTGTGGCACAGCGCAGCGACGTGATGCCCCAGGCGGTGTGCATTCTAATCTAAACATACGTGCTGGCTAATATTATTGCTCGTGTATCACGTGAGAATTAACATGTTTCTCTGCTATCTCGTAAGTAACAGGTACTGCCAGGTTTCGTCCTACACACCAGACTGCAAAGGGGCTTTACTGTTGCTTTGGGTGCCACCATCTTGGGCTGTTAAGCCAATGTTTTCTTGTAATTGAATGTTGCTACGTGAAATAGTAAGGCCATGAAACACCCTATGCACAAACCCAACTGTTTTCACCCGTATAGGTCTACCGCAACTCTGTTCGTTTAGCTGTTAAAGACGTAATACACTAATGTTCACAGCCCAATATCACGGCACTGAAACCCGTCAGTAAAATAGTCTATAGCAAGGAGTGCTTCTTCAGGTTTGTTTCTGCTTTATTTTAAGCAAAACCGCAATCTCTATTGCAGGCAGCAGTACTCTTTTGCCACATCGAAAGAAGGCTTGCGGGACCCAAAACTGCTGAAGATGTGCCAAGCGGTGTGGATCCGTATGCGCTACCTGCAATCACTGCAAAACAAGCAACCGCAGCTCGAAGCTGCCACTCCTTAAGTAGGCACAGGCACATAAGATACAATAAATTATTTTATACCTTTGTTATCACTGATCGACTGTCTGTGCAACCTTCTGCTTTGCCTTCTGAGAGAGCCATTTGTTAGAGTCTCAAGCATCAATGAATGCACTTGTCAAATGGTAAAATACCATTGAATGTTGCCATATGGCTTGAATGTGTTGCTCGCGGGATCGAATCCCAGCTGCGGCGGCTGCACTTTCAGTGGAGGCAAAAGTGCTGTAGACCCGTGTGCCAAGATTTGGGTGCAATTTTAACCAAAGGTGGTTGAAATTTTCCGAGCCCTTCACTCCGGCATTCCTCATAATCATATGGTGGTTTTGGTCTTTAAACCCCACATATCAATCAATGAATTTGCTGATCCGAAATGTGGTCGTGATTGTGCAGTTAGTGGTGCTCATCAGCTAGTATCCTATAATTATATAAAGATGTGCAGCTACCAATTTTTTAAACCTGAAAGCGCGTGCATTGATCAGCCAGTCAATCAGCGGTGTATAAAGGAGCACAGCGGTGAAATGAATGAGAATATGTGTATGCATCCAATGACTGGTCCTGTGCAGCTGTCTTCTGCAAGGTTGTTTTGGGATCTAGACACCAGGACGCCTGGAACAAGTGCTAATCGACTTGGTGATCGATGTTCGGGTAAAAAAAATGGGCAACTGTACGTCATGAAGCTGTATCGATCTTTTATGTAGCTTTATGCCACGCTCTAATGAACAACAGTTGATGCCTTTCATAAATGTTCAACCACCTGGCCATCCTAAGGCTACCTGATTAGCAAAGCCTTAATACAATGTGGGCAATAACTCTGTTTGTGCTTTCTTTGACTTTGACATGAATCAATGTTATTGACAGATGGAGTTGCTAATGCAAAAAGTGGTCGCAAACTCTTCTAAGCCAAAATTAATAGATGTGCAGTCAGCTGTTACTACTGCTAAACATGCATTTCTGCATTATGTGCAGTTCCTTGGACATGGTTGAAGAAAGCATCATTTAACCAACAACGCGTAAAATGAAACTGGCAATAACAAATGCTTAGAAAGTACATAGCTTGTCTGTAAAGTAGGACTTTATGCCTCTTGTGTAGTAACACAGTATGTTCAGTGACTTGCAAATCACTGAAGGCTCCCTGGAACACAGATAATGGAATGCTTTGGAGCTCCCTTCAATGGCCTTGACCAAATCTTGGTGCTGTCCTTTCATGAGCCTTTTCAATCGGGGTAAGCGAAAGAAGTCTGAAGGATCTGGGCTATGCGGTGGCTAGGGAAACTGCATGATGCCATCAAAGGCAGTGTGGTACAGTGTTTTGTCGCGGCTTCTAGCTATTGATGGGTGTCCTGACCAATGCCCGTCTTTCATTTATTTATTTATTTATTTATTGATACTGCAGTCTCAAGCAGAGACTACAGCAGGTGTGAAATATCGATATATGATATTAAAAAAAAGGCATACTAGTAGTATACAAAAGAAAATACATGGAAGTGAAATATGCAATGCATACAGGTAAAACAATAAGGCTAAAGAAATGAACAAGAGACCCAATGGAATTAAACAGTCAAAATGAACTGTAAAATGCAAAAATACAAGAACAAGCTAAATAAATCCAGAACAGAATAAAATTTTAAGAAGAAAATTTGTGCCAAAATTGCTCTCTTCCTTCCCAAAACAATTTGTTGGGTACTAAAACACTCTCATTTACTTTACCCTTATCCGTGCAGAGCTTTACAAAGGAGAGTAGGACACATAAAATAACAAAGCAAATCAAACAAAACATCAAGTAAACTAAATACGAGGATACTACGTTAGACTTACACAACTGAATGCAAATGTAGCTACAATAAGAACTACAGAACAAACAAAGCAGAAACTATATAGTATGTTGTGACTGACCCATGGCATCACCTCTACAAGCATTCTGGGTCACTAATTATTTTACCCAATTTGATGGAAAACTTCCCTCATAGCACTACCTTAACAAATGGTTTAGTGTGGATTTCACAAGGCACCTTGAAGGATTCGCTTGTAACTGGATCTACACTTTATAGAGGCTGAGATTACTGGCGACTGGTGCACTGATAGCTAGGACCCCACCCTCACCCAACCAACACAGCAACATCTCTTGTTTTCACCCCATTTCGGCAGGAAATAATCAGACACACTAAGACCAGGGCACACCCTGCATGGCATTGAGAACATAGTGACCTTTTGGGTGTAATTGAACAGCTGAGAAGGAGGGCAATCAAGAATTAATCAAAGTTGCTGTGTGATCTATACATTTTCCATTTGATAAGATGGTGGTCGAATAAATTTTTCTATAGGAGTTTCTTTTTTTTGTTCCATCACTGGGAAGTGCTTTTTTCGACTAGAAAAGACAAGGTGTAACTAGCTAATCGATCAAATAACAAACATTAAACGAGACTTCAAAAATGTTTATTACTGTACAGTACTTACACAATCATTGTAGGAGCTTTAGTGTTGTAACTAGGAAGGTTGGGATATGTCTCAGGGCATTGATATTGCACACTTTTTTACCAATAATTTCAGGTCATAGAAGGCGTCTATTTCAGCTCAATATATAGGGTTTCCTCTAGGAAAGCCATTAAATCTTTGTATCTGTTAGTACGTGCGATTGACGCAGAGACGAAACGTGCTGATGAGAGAATCTATATCTACCAACTTTATTGTTCTTTCAACTTCCTAGACTTGGGGACTGGTGTGACCGGTTACTCTTTCCTCTCCTTCTCCGCACCTTTGTTGGTGGTGCACAGGAAGGGAAAAGATTGTCGGTCTGCAACACGCTGGCAGCGCAACCTGCAGCGCCGTGGCAGATGTCGTAGAGTTCACCACATATCTTATCGACCACATAGATGGACAAAACATATCAGTAGTGCTATTAGGAAATGTCGTATTGCTTAAAATTTCACAAAAACATGTAAATGTGTAGACTTCTGAGAACAAACATGAGTACGTTTACAGAGAAAAATAGAATTATTCACAAATTGCCTAGGTGTGCGCCTATATTTTAAAAAAATAGGATCACCCTAAGTTCTTAAGAGTTTCAGGGGCGAAGCTCCTCCTCGTCTAACCTTGTCATGACTCACGCGTAATCGAGAGATGAAAACTTGAGAAAGAAAAGAAGGCAGTACCTCTCGAGCAGTATAATACACGGCACAGTCTCATAGAAGTATATACAAACTGCAATTGAGTGGGAATATTCTAGATGGCGCTGTACCGCTACTCTCTGATTGGCTGCTGCGCGGGCTCTGTCTGTGTACGCGGAGAACGAGCGCCTATCTCAGTCTCCAGAATAGTCGCCGTGCGTGGCGGATAGTTGGTGGGGCATGGACGAAGCAGAGCGGCGGGCGCGTTTGCGCTCGGCTTTCTTGGCTCGCGTCTCATCGGTATTACCCGCGCGCCCTCTGCATTCTCCAACGCGATCGGATGCATGGACACATGCACAGGTCGACGGACGGACGCACGGACGGACGGATGGACTCTTCACCCCACTAATCATCATTCATTCTGCGATTTTTTTGAAAAACCAATTGGTTTTATTCTAGAAAAAAAAGAGGTCATCTTGTTTTTTTGTGTGAGTTTTGTTTCACTGCAAACTACCAAAGTTTCGTCGATTGAGTTGCTGCTGCGGCGTTCACGTTTGTAGACGCCGCAGCACCAACTAAACTTTATCAAAACTTAAAAATGCATGACGATAGTTATAGTGCGAGACCAGAAAGCCGACAAAGAGATAAGAAGGACACTTTGTCGTCGTTCTGTTCTCGCACTGTGACTATCGCCATGTCATACCAACTAGCCCAAACTGCCACACTTCCAAGTTAAATATGCAACAAAGAAAAATGCAGCAGTTACTAAATATATTATTCTGGTTTTTTACCGGGGCTAGAGCATAACAACAAGAGGGCGAAGTACTCGCGATAGGTTATTTTGCACGAAAGAGACCAATTGTTTGAATCCTCGCTGGGTTGAAATAAATGTTTAGAAAACGAAAACAAGAACTGCAACTGCTATCATCATCATGGTATATAGGCGGGTGAATGGAAGTCTGTAAGCTGTTCTGGCGGCAAACTTTTTCTTGGCGTATTAAGTAGTCGCTGTGCCGGTTTTCCGTATCGTAATCATGTGCGAAAGCCGTACATGACCACGTTTACTGACGGAGGAGATTTTCAAGAAGTTCCTTTACGAGCGGTGACGTTCGGTATGGTGCAGCTGTTTGTAAAAGTGTGAGTACAACGTGTACGGACACTGCTCGCTCCAATCGTGAGAGTTCTTGTTCTCAACGACTGCCTCCCAATTGTACTGGTCTGTCTGTGAAGTGTAAACGTTGCGCGCATGATCTGTTAGCGGCTGTTTTATTTTGCTTTACTTCTGTTTGGTTACGTGCACTGTCCAGCCTTGTAAAGCACCCGGTTTCGCGATCGTGTTGTGTGTATTCAGAGAAGCATAATTGTATCACATATCGCAGTTTTACTGCCATGTCGTAGGCTGTGTCATAACGTTTATCGCAAATGTGGCACGTTCTAGACAAACAACTGAATATGGCGATTTGCGCCTTTGGATCTTGGCTGTCAGTCGCGAGAATGAAAGCAAATACTTCGTCCCGCCTTCGGCACTCATCATAGCCTCTGGAGCGATTCAGTGATCAACTTTTTACAGAAAGCATCGTTACAATTACAGGAATGCTTCTCGTCCATTTTCTGTTAACGTATGCGATTTGCAACTAAGAATGTCGCGGTGAAAGTTGGTATAAGTCAAAGCTGTGACCGTGTAAAAACCAGAAATTACTCAATCTTTTTTTGTTTCTCTTTCCTAAATGCCCGAACAGTCGACAAAGATTCACTAGGGAATCTAAGCTTAGAGTGATTGACGACCGTTGGACAATAAATACCCCATACTGAAGCAGCCTTTTGCAAAAGGTCATCTGTCAGACAATTTTGACAAAACGTCTTCAGCCCACGTAAGTTCTTGATGGGCCATTGTTTATAACCTGTGCAAATGCTCTGCTCAAGTTAAAACACACTGACCTGTAGTATGTTGCTTTCTGTGTGGCAACTTTTTGTTGTTTGTGCTATGTAGACCTTTATTGTGACCACGCCGTTGAATACCTTGTATCACCTCTTTGCACCCCTTATCCACCCCTGGCGCCAGAGCCATTAGCCCCTTGCAGCTGATATGAATAAGTGAAGTCTTCATGCATGAACTGCGGTGTCCAAATGTTAAAAATTACTATATCCCGTGTATTAAATATCATAGCATGAAATGATGTTGGCATTGATGTATGCTGTAGGTCTGAGCTTCTAGTGTTTTTCTCAAGAAACTGATATCTGGAATATCAAACTTGAAATGGCCCTCATGAAGTTATCTGAGTGCTTATTTGGTTTCAAATGCTGATGACTGCATGTAATGAATGTTTTCATTTTGTTTTTTGTATGCTTTTTTTGCGCAAGATCTGTGTACTGCGACTGTGTGACACTGGACTGTAACAGGTTGGGAAGCCTAGTGAAGCTCTACTGAGTATTTTTTTTTATTCTGTCTGCTCTGTGAAGTAGTAAATAAATGAAAATGAAACCTTATTAGCTGATTCATCTTAATCCTCAGTGTATTGGTGATTGCTCAATGACTTTACTCTGTGTGATTAATGGGAGCTATCTCTGTCATCCACAGACCAACAGTGCCTGGCAATGCCAACAAGTCCAGCATCCCCGAATGGCGTATTGTTGAGCTCCAGGGTGATCTGATGACAAATGACGAAGGCATGGCTGGCCAATACATCGGTGATCTCCATTACACCAAAGCGGTATGAAGTGTTAAAGGGACACTAAAGGCAACTATTAAGTCGATGTTGGTTGTTGAAATAGTGGTCCAGAAACCTCGTAGTGTTACATTTGTGCCAAAAAAGTGCTTATTTTTAAATAAAATTTTGTTTTAGTGGTCCACATCGAGTTAGTGCAGTTCAAAGTACCCAGCTGAAGCAGAATGCGTCATGCCACTGTTGCCGTGCACAACGTTGCTTAGTTTTACAGCGCGGCCATCGATATTAGTAGCAGCAGAACTAAAACAGAGGGAGCCGCAGCAGCAATAACGACCATCAAACAATTTCTGCCATAGCCTGAAATATAGCAGACATGCTGGGTATAACTGGGTCCCGCTAGATGGCACTACCTGTCCAGTCAAGCTAGGCGAAAATTGAACTTTTGAACCACTCACACCATTCCTCATAGTAACGTCGAGCGGTTCTTTTTTCCATGGATCAAACACAAACCAACAAGAAGCATTTCATTACGTCTCCTTATGCACGGAAGGTTCTATACATGTATTTAGTGCACCTAGATCGATTACTAGTGATTCATCATACCTCTGACATAATCGGTATCAGTTTGCGAATGCCCTATCGTAGCGCATGTGTTCTCATGCATCTACCTAAATCTATTGGTGACTAAGGCACTGCTGTTAATAATATTGTCGTTTTAGACGTTGTGGTACATAGAGCTTTCACTCTGACATAAATTGTTATTGCATTGTTTTTGCATTGGAGATGCTGTATTTGCAAATATAGAACTCAGTGACACTTTTCAAGCACTTTTCACTCATAATTAGTCTTAGATTGGTGTTTCAATGGTCTTACTGAAGAATGCATCCCATTTAGGCTCTCGTACAATAACTGCCTTAGGAAGGGTAGCACCATGACACCTTTTAAATACCATGCATTTGCTCTCTCTTTTCATCAATTACAGGGCATTCCGGTGCTGCTTGTTGGCCACCACATCTTGTATGGGAAAGAGCAGGACGTGGAAAAACCATTTCTCGTAATTGAAAAGTCTGGCGGAAAAGAAGGGGAAACACGAGGCATTACGAAGGAGTACCTCGTTCGCGGTGTCGTCACAAAAAAGGTCATCTTTCGGTCTCGTCCTAAGCCCATTGTCAGCAACGTACCGACGAAAGTCTGAAGAGAAGCTGCAAAGCTGTAGGTGTGCCAGGATAATCATGATGTGTTCCTGTGACTGTAGATTCCTCCTTTTCTTCCGAGATGTGCCCGCTGAACAACATTGAAAGTTAGCATTGTGCACCTAAGAAGTTGAAAGTGATCGTGAAAACATAAGGTTTAATGATATGACGGTGCCTGTTTCATTTACATTGTTGCAGTGACTCTAAAAAATGATTAGCTGGAGTGTTCTTACATTGTATATTATTGCTCGCTGTTTGATAATGCTCTTCAAGTACTCTTATTTCACCATAAAATGCTGCTGTTTTGTTGTCTAATGCACAAACTATGCCGTTATGAACATACACATGCTTTATTTGCTAGTTTTACAGACTATAAAAAACCATTGAATATTGTAAATAAGTTGGTGTCTATTGCTTATTCATTTCTGAGCGTAGTTGGGGGCAGAATACTAAATATAATATATTGTCACGGGGTCGTGACGTGGTTGAAGGCAGGAGACAGAATGGTCAGATTAAACTGTTTATATGGGCGAACTTGTGCCCACTAAACGGAAAGTCGGGTTACGGTAGCACACTTGCACTGATAGGGGTGCATGCAGTGTCGGCCGTCCATCAACTGACAAGCGGCAAAGCGCCTCGGCATTTATACACTTGCCATCGAATGTTCTAGCGTTTTCGCTAGCCGTGACGTAGGTTCCAGAATAATCTGTACAGTTCGCGGAGTTGGTGTGATCTTATCGAAATGCTACAGTCCTGAAGCTTCTCGAAAACTGCAGGCGCGGTTTGCGCTGAAAATTGTGTAGTGTATTGGGGTGATAACAAAACTTGAGAAAAGGAGCTTGGCATTGCCCCCTCTGAAGAAGGGATTGTCCCGATTCTTTAACGGAAGATGAAGGTACAACAATAATGCAAGAAAGCACACGGAATAAATTACGATACAGCAATAATATAAAAAACACTGTTTCAGTTCATTAACGCACATGAAACAGCTTGAGCCGCGCGACATGGACGACTTCAGGTCGCGATCGACGTCGTTGAGAGTTCGTGATGCCGTCGGGGACAAGCTCGTAATCGAGTGGGCCGAGACGTCGAACCACCCTGTATGGCCCGAAGTACCGTTGCAGAAGCTTTTCACTGAGACCACGTCGAGGTATCAGCGTCCACACCCAAACACTTTGACCGGGCTGGTATTCCACGAAGCGTACTCGAAGATTGCCATGGCGGCTGTCGATCGTCTGTTGGTTCTTGATACGGAGGCGCGCCAGTTGTCGGGCTTCTTCGGCGCGTTGAAGGTACTCACTCACATAGAGGGTGTCTTCGTAGGTGACGTTGGGTAACATGGCATCGAGCTTTGTTGCCGTGCTCCTTCCATAGACCAATTTGTATGGAGATATCTGCATGGTGTCCTGCACCGCCATGTTGTATGCGTAGGTCACGTACGGTAAAATGGCATCCTACATCTTGTGTTCGACATCGACGTACATTGCCAGCATGTTGGCAATCGTCTTGTTTAGCCGCTCAGTGAGGCCGTTGGTCTGTGGGTGGTACGCTGTTGTCCGGCGGTGCTTCGTCTGGCTATATGCCAAGATCGCTTGAGTTAGGTGAGCAGCAAACGCAGTTCTTCTGTCGCTGATGAGGACCTCTGGGGCACCGTGATGTAGGACGATATTTTCGACAAAGAACTTAGCTACCTCAGATGCACTGCCTTCTTGTCAGTGGGCAATGGGAAGTCGGCGATGGCAGCTGTTTTCCATGGATCGGGACGAACTCCAGACTTGCTAATCACGTGCCCCAGGAACAAGAGCTCCTCGTACGTAAATCTGCACTTTTGTGGCTTCAGTGTGGGTCCGGACGTCTTGATGGCTTGAAGAACAGCTTCAAGATGTCGAAGATGCTCGTCGAAACTCGAGGAGAACACGAGGATGTCGTCCAAGTACACAAGGCAAGTGTGCCACTTCAATCCTGCCAGTAGTGTATCCATAACTCATTCAAAAGTGGCAGGCGCTGAGCAAAGACCGAAGGGCATCACCCTAAACTCAAAGAGGCCGTCCGGTGTTATAAATGCCGTCTTCTCTCGGTCTCTTTCATCCACTTCGATTTGCCAATAGCCAGTCTTGAGGTCCATTCACAAAAAGTAGTTGGCGTTATGGAGCTGATCAAGTGCTTCGTCTATTCATGGGAGAGGATACACGTCCTTTCTTGTGATTTTGTTCAGGCGGCGATAATCGACGCAGAAACGTAAGGTTCTATCTTTTTTTTTCACTAACACCACGGGGGACACCCATGGACTCTTGGACAGCTGGATGATGTCATCCCGCAGCATTTCATCAACTTGTCTCTGCATGGCCTTGCGTTCTCGCGTCGAAACCCTGTACAAGCTCTGACGGAGTAGTCTAGCATTTTCGTCTGTTAGGATGCGATGTTTCTTGATTGGGGTCTGCTGAATTTTTCATGATGACGAAAAGCAATTTTCGTATTGCAGGTGCAGGGTCTTGAGCTGTTCTTGCTTATGGTCTGGAAGGCTAGGATTGTCGTGAAAAGCTGAGGGAGGGGCTTGGTTCCTCTGAGCAGGTTCCGCAGAATCGGTGAGGGTGAAAGCACTGGTGGCTTCCACAATTTCTTCGATTATGCGACCGCCGTTTCTTCGTTCACGTGTTTGTACTCATTGCTGAAATTCATGAGCATAACCGTTGCTTTGCCTCCCCACAGCTCTGGAATTCCTCTTGCAATGCAAATATTGCGTGTGACCAACAGATGCTGACTGTCTTCAACGACGCCTTTCAAGTCACGTGATTAAGAGTGCCAACTGAAATAATGACGCTGGAGCGAGGAAGAATGGTGACTTGTTCTTCGAGCACATTCAAGGCATGGTTTTTCGACGGCGTGCGCGGCGGTAGTGCTTCTTCTGTGGATGAAGTTATCGACTTTGTTCTTAGGTTGATGACTGCACCATGGAGGCATAACATGTAAGTCCATGCCAAGGATGACATCTCTCGAGCAACGCTGTAGGACTACAAAGTCTGCAGGATAAATACGGCCGTTAATGGCGACTCTCGCTGTGCATGTTCCTGTTGGCGTTACGAGGTGACCTCGGGCTGTGTGGGTTTCGGGGCCTTTTCAAGCTGTCCTAACTTTCTTCAACTTCGAGGCGAACGACTCACTGATGACGGAATAGTCGGCTCCAATATCGACGAGAGCGGTCACACTATGGCCGTCGATAAGAACGTCGAGGTCGCTAGTTTGTTGTCTCGCGTTGCAGTTAGGGCGTGACGTCGGGTCATGGCTGCATCGGCTTGTTCCGCTGCTTCTATGTTGCGTCGTCAGGTCGTCTTCGGTAAGTGAGGTTTCGTCGTCAGAACTTTGCTTGGTTGGCGTCGTGTTCGGAAAGCTCTGTCGCGGCATCGGAGGATCTTCGGTAGTTCGTCGGACAGCAACAGCACCTCCGTTGGTTGCTGCCCTTAGTTTCCCGGATACTCTGGCCCCGCATTAGGCCAGAGTGCTGTCGTTGGTACGCTGACATCTGGCGGCTAGACGACGGCGAACGGGAAGGACTTCGTGGTGTCCATTGAGTTCCTGTCTGGAAGTCGGGGATGTTATGTGGCTGTTTCCCTGGCTGCAGACGTGGTGCATTGACGGCGAAGCCACGCAGTCCCATCTGTCAGTACTGGCAACGGCGGTAGGTGTGCCCGGCCTCGCCTCAGTGGTAGCAGTGCGAGCGGTTGTCAGGTGCACCTCAAACGTCGGTTTTCCTCGGCGCACTGCGCTGGCCCGCTGGCGATTGGTAGGACGGGACGTAGATGGGGGTGGTTGCGTCTGGCGACGGAAGTGTGACGGGGTCGAGTTTTGGCGTGGATGGGGAGGAGAGTTGTGGCGCACTGCAGCGGCGTAGCTCATAGCTTCCGGCTCGGGCAGCAGTGCTTGGGGAATTAGAAGCGATTGCCGAACTTCTTCTCGCACAATGTCGGCGATCAAATCCACTTGAGGCTGTGCCGAAGGCAACAGCTTGCGCAGCTCTTCCCGCACAATCGCTCAGATCGTTTCACGCAGGTCTTCCGAGTCAATGGCTTGAGCAGCAGCGCAGTCAGGAGTCAGGCGACGATTATGCAGTCTGGTGCACATGTTCAAGGTCTTTTTGATAGTGGTCGCCTGTGATACGAATTCTTGGACAGTGTTTGGTGGATTTCTCATCAGTCCCGCAAAGAGCTCCTGTTTGACCCCTCGCATGAGGAAACGAACTATCTTCTCCTCAGGCATGCCCGGGTCAGCGTGACGGAATAGGCGGGTCATTTCTTCTCTGAAAATGGTGACATTTTCATTTGGTAGCTGAACCCGGGTCTCTAGTAAAGCAGCGGCCCTCTCCTTGCGAGCGACGCTCGCGAACGTTTGCAGGAATGCGCCGCAGAAGACATCCCACGTTTGAAGCGCAGACATCCGATTTTCAAGCCAGGTTCTTGCGGTGTTTTCCAGGTATAAGTACACACGATGGAGCTTTTCTTTAATGTCCCAGTGATTGAGGGTGGTCACATGGTCGTATGTCTCTAGCCAGGTGTCCGGGTCTTTGAACGATGACCCACGAAAAGTTGGTGGTTCCCTGGGTTGATGCATGACGATAACTGGCTGGGACGCTGTGGTTGTCTTTGTAGCGGCAGTACAGGTCATGGCATTGGTCTTCCGCACCTTGTCTTGTGAAGGCCCGTGCTCTGGTAGTAGACTTTGCTGCTGGCGGCTTGTTCGCAGCTCCTGGTTGGCGTTGGTGTCCTTTCCGCGACGTGGGCTGGGTTCATGGCTTGACGTGGGTGTCCGGTACATGAACGAAGCAGTACTTCCACCAGATGTCACGGGGTCGTGACATGGTTGAAGGCAGGAGACGGAATGGTCAGATCAAACTGTTTATTTGGGTGAACATGTGCCCGCTAAATTGAAAGTCTGGTTACGGTAGCACACTTGCACTGATAGCGGTGCATGCAGCGTTGGCCGTCGATCACCTGACAAGCAGGGAAGCGCACCGGCATTTACGCACTTGCCATCGAATGTTCTAGCGTTGTCACTAGCGATGACGTAGGTTTCAGAATAATCTGTACAGTTCGCGGAGTTGGCGTGACCTTATCGAAATGATCTACCACAGTCCTGAAGCTTCTCGAAAACTGCAGGCGCGGTTTGCTCTGAGAATTGTGTAGTGTATTGGGGCGATAACAAGACTTGAGAAAAGGAATGTGGCAATATTCTGTTCTTGCTAAGTCTCTTCAATATGTAGACTTGAAGTCATAAATAGTGGTTGACCAAGCCGACATTTCGGCATGAAGCTTTATCGAGTCTAGAGCAGTAGCTGGATCGATGAAAGCGAGTTTTCTTGTAGAATTGCAAGCTTTGGCATTGTGCTGCTCATCTGCTACCCAAAGT